GACTGACCACTTCAAAGCAACTACTTCGAACCTGATGGACCGATCACATCATCATCATTACGTCTCCTCTGCTTCTGCTGTCTCCATATTTAATCACCTTATAGTCGACTGAAAAAGCCTACTGTGAAGGAGAAACATTTCGGACATAAAGACACCTGTTACATACGTCGTACTTTTCTACTGTTGAATCATGTGATGTGATGTTCAGTTGTTGTTACGTTATGCCTCAGTAAGTCAGAAGTTGTGTCTTGGTTCGCTGGCTGCACTGAGCGGGTTCTATGACAACATCAGGAGGCATTTTGCTGGTTCTAAGGACATGGTGAAATACAACATGAAGTATGTTAGTATAATTGGTTAATACAAGGATATTAACCAGATGTTTTGTTCGTAGGATCTTTTTTGTAATCCTAGTATTACTCGTGTCAAATGGACATGAGTTCCTATACCTAGGACGCTTTTATTGAAGACATTTCTGCCCCTGGAACTGGTGACTTCAAATACATGATGAATTTAAAGTGGTTAAAATCAAATGATCAAAACATCAGTTTCCCTTCTAGCTGTCAGCAGTCATGTTCCTACTTAGTACACATGTGTCTTATAAACAATCCAGTAATAAGCAAAATACCACCACTGTCTCTACCGCACTTTTCTGATAACAAGGGAGTCTCTTATCAACACAACACAGACAATTCTCTCTATTCTATAAAACTTATCAGAAGCTGATAAACCACTTCAGTACTAATCACTCATAGAGCATTAACCCGCTCAGTTTTTGGGTAATAAATTCCCTGCCTTCTCTATTTTCATGACTAGAGGTGTACTTTTTTTTTTACAAACATAATTGACACATTTTTCTTATCACTAACACTTGAAGATAACACTATAACGTATGCAGCAGATAACTGCACGACATTAATATTTTTTACAGTACTTTTGGACTTACGGAATGTGTACAAATTATGCTTAATGAAATACACGCTTTGTACACCTTCCTTTTGATAAATAAAACACATTTACAACACTTTGGTATCGAAACTTTGCAAATAAATCTTATTTATCAACTTTTTCGTACCAATAGCTTGATACCAAGAAGTTTAAATAAATAACAGGAGTCCTCGGGATGTTCTTCAGTTTTATATATCCTTTCTTAAAGCCTCATTTAAATTATACTGTGCAGTTCTGGTCACCGTATTACATAATGAACATAAATGCGCTGGAAAACGTAAACAGAAGGATGACAAAGTTGATCCCGTGTACCAGAAATGTTTCCTACAAGGACAGACTGAGGGGCCCTGACTCGACACTCTCTGGATAGGCACTGAATTAGAGGGAAAATGATTGATATATATAACTAATGTGCTAAAAATATCTAAGCAAGACAGAACTTATTTAGAAAAGATATAGGATATAGGAAAGCACTGGTATGGTAATAGACTCGTTAATAAAGAGAGAACTTTGTGTTGCCATAACAAAAATAACTTTATGAATATAACACAAGTGAAAGAGTTGGGTATCTTTATTGTCGAAATGTTTCGCCTTCACGGAGGACTTCTTCAAATACTATACACTGTATTTGACTGAAGAAAACTACCGTGTATACCTGGCGTATACCTGGAGAGGGTTTCGGGGGTCAACGCCCCCGCTACTCGATCCGAGACCAGTCCTCGTGGAAGGCGAAACATTTCATCAATAATGATATCTAACTGTTGCACATGTATCTTATCTTCAACTTGTGTCTTATCTTCAACTTATGTCTTAATCTTCAACTTATGTCTTAATCTTCAACTTGTGTCTTATCTTCAACTTATGTCTTAATCTTCAACTTATGTCTTAATCTTCAGCTTGTATCTTAATCTTCAACTTGTGTCTTAATCTTCAACTTGTGTCTTAATCTTCAACTTGTGTCTTAATCTTCAACTTGTGTCTTAATCTTCAACTTGTGTCTTAATCTTCAACTTGTGTCTTAATCTTCAACTTGTGTCTTAATCTTCAACTTGTGTCTTAATCTTCAACTTGTGTCTTAATCTTCAACTTGTGTCTTAATCTTCAACTTGTGTCTTAATCTTCAACTTGTGTCTTAATCTTCAACTTGTCGGTGTTTTATACCATTTCAACATTAATGAGTGAGACATGAGTGGTTAGTACATGATAGAGTGTGGGTGGGTGTGAGTTTGACTTGCCTAGCATGGCCCAGCAAATCTGTTGCCGTACTCCACTTTACGGTCTTAAATGTCTCACTCAGATATGTAAGTGTTGAAGTTGTTAAATTCCTCATCAATTGTAAGTGGTATATAATACCGATAATGTGAGGAGTGAGACACATGGACAACACTAGTCTCATCCTTCAACTTTTCGGTTTAATGAAAGATGAGACATTTATAAAACACTTGGAAATCTTTATTACGAAAACATTTCGTCAATTAGCAATGCACATTTCTCAGTTGTGATGAATGGTTTTTAAAAACCGACAAGTTGAAAGATTGTCATGACAGTCAAGGACATTTACATCCTGACAAAGACCATTTATATCATGATAATCATAGACCATTTGCATCATGACAGTCGAAGACATTTATATCATGACAAAGACTGTGTGGCGAAACGTTTCCTAAATAAAGATTCCCATATGTTGCACAAGTGTCTCAATCTTCAACATTTCTCAGTGTTGCACATATGCACCATTCTTCTACTTGTGGGTTTTCTATTCCTTTTACATCGCACACCCCTCAAGGAAGGTTCCTTGATGTTGGTTAGGGGCTCTTGATTTAGGGAATTGGATCTGTGCTCCAGTTCCCCGAATTAAGCCTGAATGCCTTCCACATCCCCCCCCCAGGCGCTGTATAATCCTCTGGGTTTAGCGCTTCCCCCTTGATTATAATATAATAATAATTTTACATCACACCCTAGGTATAATAGACTGTTCGTAACATATCTGACACTGCAACACCATGCTGTCTGCCACCAGCGATGTCTTCGGCAACTCAATTGCTGAAAACTATTTAGCATGACCTACTTCTACTAGCGACTCCAACTCACCTGTGACCTCACCTCCAACTGCTACACCTCACTCTCCATCATATAAGTCTCTGGCTACTTGCTTCTGCATTTGGTTCAAGACTCATTATCTTGCATCATGGGTGATGCACTGATGGTATTAACTACCTCCCTACTTAGTCTTCCACCAGTGATCATGTCTCTGTAATCGACTGATGAAACCCGAAATGAAAGGTGACACGTTTCATCAGTATTCCTAATGGAAATAAATGGCAGAAAATACCGACACTGGTGGAAAGGGAGACATAAATGAATTCCAAGTATCTACCACTGTGTTTACTATGATCACAGACATTTACATCATAACAATCAATGACCATTTGCATCATGACAATCGAAGGCCATTTACATCATAACACTCAAAGATCATTTACATTATGACACTTAAGGACATTTATATCATGACAATCAAAGACCATTTATATTATGATAAACAAAGACATTTACATCATGCAAGTCAAAGACATTTATGTCATGACAAAGACCATTTACATCATGACAATCAAGGACATTTACATCCTGACAATCAAAGACCATTTATATCATGATAATCAAAGACCATTTGCATCATGACAGTCAAAGACATTTACATCATGACGAGGACCATTTTTATCATAACAAAGACCATTTATATCATAACAATCAAAGACCATTTACATCATGACAATCAAAGTCATCATCAGTAAGGGACACCACCAGTTTCAACCCTCTGCATGAATATCCATCATCCTTGCAACAATTGCAACCATATATACATGGGCGAAACATCCAGAGACCTCCAAGGATTGATGGACTGAACACATCAACTCCAGGCTGAGGGATTGATTACCTCTAACTCCTCCACATCTTCCACTTTTCTCAGCACTGGACCGAAGAAGATGCTGGATAACGAAAAGTTCCCAGAAAAAGATACCCAGATGTACCACGAGTGTCTCATTTATCATCATTCCTATTGTTGCTCATATGTCTTACTCTTCTGCATCATTCCTATTGTTGTTCACGTATCTTAATCTTCAAATTCTTCATGTTGTCGGTATTGTACACCAGTATCACAACACCACGAGCCAGTACATGATAAACGCACACAAATCTCAGACTCAGCCGTAGTTATCTCACCTTCTCGTCTATCGTTTAATTTCTCTGTAGTGTAAATGGTACACAATATTGCCAAGTTGATATGACACTTGTCTGTAAAGATTCCTAATGTTACACATGTCTTAGGCATCTCTATTGGATTGATAAAGCTATTGGACAGTGGCACGTTTTCAGAATGAAGATACGGAGTTTATCTCGTTTTTATTCTTAAGAGAGAGAGAGAGAGAGAGAGAGAGAGAGAGAGAGAGAGAGAGAGAGAGAGAGAGAGAGAGAGAGAGAGAGAGAGAGAGAGAGAGGGAGAGAGAGAGAGAGAGAGAGAGAGAGGGAGAGAGAGAGAGAGAGGGAGAGAGAGACTGAGAAGCAGAATTTAGGAAACAAGAGGAGCAGTGAGATGACGAGACAATGTGAAGCATCATGTACCACAATAGCCAAGTCTGCGGTGCACTAACCTCTCCCGCGACCCCGGCAGCCCTGGCTCTGGCAGCACTGACGCACTGCCCTGCCAAACGTTCATTCATTCGTAAACAATTGAAAATAATTTTTTTAATATTCCCCCAAGAGATCTGAGTAAGAGTGAAAATTTTATGCTACGGCTTTGTTCGCGGAATATAGAAAACAACATTTCAGCGTCATGGCACTGGCAGGGTGGCATAGAAGGTAATATTAAATATTGAGTGCCACATTCTGACTGTCGTAAATTATTTTTCTCTCCGTAATTCCGTATTAAGTAATGAAAGTTGCGCTAGGAATGTGTTATTATGAAGGTAAGGTAGCCGTATGGGTTTTTACAGAGTTGTGGTGATGTGGTTATGTGGTGTTGAGATGACGTGTGTGGTGGAATCTGGCACCGTTGTTGCGCGCATTAAAGGGCCTGGAGGCGGCCCAGCTGGGGTCAGTTTCTCCTTAAACGTGCAAGTGAAGGTACGCTCTTTCCTCCGCTCCTCTACTCTTCTACCAATTTGAAATGGTCGGCTGGGGATACGCAAAGGCAAACGGTAAGTGGTGACGAGTTGAAGTTATTTACAGCATATTATTGTCTGTCTTGTAAGTGTAAATGATGTATAAGCATTTACAAGGAAAATTACTATATCTCCCGTTAATTTACAGCTGTAATTTAATATATCTCACCTATATTCATTTTAGTTATAAAATAAGGTATCAAAAATATAGAAAATAAAATGACCTGTTAATCTGGGCTAAAGTGACCTGGGTCAATTTTTAAGACGAATTTTCGTCGAAATGTCCACGAGGGAAAAATATCCATGGGCCTTCATACAAATCTCTCCACCTTGCTGCTAATAAAGGGCTCTTGATCCAAGGAATCGTTGATGTCCTACTCTTCCTAGGATATCAAACCTGATTACCTCCCAGTCCCCAAGATGAGCTCATAATAGTAACAATACGTGTGTGGGTGTGAGTGTATATGCATCTACGTATATATATATGTATATATATATATATATATATATATATATATATATATATATATATATATATATATATATATATATATATATATATATATTTAAATAATATTTAAATATATATACAGTCAGCATGATTCAAAACTACTACTGGGGATGGTCAAAATTCACGCGGTATTTGTGTGGCCGAGTGGACCAGATAACTGACTGAGAATCTTGACCGTCTCCAGTAGCAGTTTCGAATCCTGTTGACTGCGATCTTTCTTTGTATATACCCGCTTGTTTCTACGTGGTGTGTGTATATATATATATATATATATATATATATATATATATATATATATATATATATATATATATATATATATATTTGTTGTATACAAGACAAAGATCGTAATAACAGAGAGAGAGACACACACACACAGATTTGTAACACTAGGAATCTTATGTGTATATTGCAGCAAGGAGGCTGCAGGTAGTGCAAATGTCGAGATCAATGTGTGGATTAAATATTATGCAGAGAATGTATTCCAGGAGAGTGTGGTGGTATGCAAGGTATAACTGGAGAGGAACACAGGAATAGAAGGTATAACTGGAGAGGAACATAGAAATATAGTGGTTGCAATGGGAGAGTACTAGTTTCTGGAACAAACCCCCGAGTAGCGTCATTTAAGCGAAACGTTGTCACAATAAAAACGTCACATTAACTGCACGTGTGTCCTTTTACCTAACAAATTTTCGGTAACTTGGAGAGCTACATAAGTGGATGTAAGTTGCATCTGCCTAGTATGGGTCAGTAGGCCTGCTGCAGTGTTCCTCCATACTTATAAGAACATAAGAACGAAGGAACACTGCAGCAGGCCTACTGGCCCATGCGAGGCAGGTCCAAATCTCCTACCGGCTTAAGCCAATGCACCCAACCTAGTCAGGTCAGGTCACATTGACTTAAGGGAGGAACACGGCAACCGACCTGTTAGCACAAGCTATCAGGTCTAACTCACACCCACCCACATCTACTCATGTATTTATCCAACCTATTTTTAAAGCTACACAACGTTCTGGCCTCTATAACGGTACTTGGGAGTTTGTTCCACTCATCCACAACTCTATTACCAAACCAGTACTTTCCTATATCCTTCCTGAATCTGAATTTTTCCAACTTAAAACCATTGCTGCGAGTCCTGTCTAGGCTAGATATTTTCAGCACACTATTTACATCCCCTTTATTTATTCCTGTCTTCCATTTATACACCTCAATCATATCCCCCCTAATTCTACGTCTTTCTAGAGAGTGCAGTTTCAGGGCCCTTAGTCTATCCTCATAGGGAAGGTTTCTGATACATGGGATCATCTTTGTCATCCTCCTTTGTACATTTTCCAGAGAATTTATATCCATTCTGTAATACGGTGACCAAAACTGTGCAGCATAATCTAAATGAGGCCTAACCAAGGATGTATAGAGTTGAAGAACAACCTGAGGACTCCTATTATTTATGCTTCTTGATATGAAGCCAAGGATTCTATTAGCTTTATTGCGAACACTTATGCACTGTTGTCTTGGTTTCAGATTACTGCTAACCAGAACTCCTAAATCTTTTTCGCAATCCGTAATATTAAGATCTACATTATTTAGTTTATATGTGGCATGGTTATTGTCCTGTCCAACATTTAGAACTTTGCTGGCAAGTTCATAAACGAGACTTGTGCAGCCTTTGGGTATCTTTATACTGGGAACGTTTCGCCAGCCAGTGGCTTCTTCAGTCCAACACAAAGAAGAACGGTAGAAAATGAGGAGTTTGAGGTAATCAGTCCCTGAGCCTTGAGTCGATGTGTTCAGTCTATCAAAACTGATGGACTGAATACATCACCTCCAAGCTGAGGGACTGATTACCTCAAACAACTCCTCATCATCCTCCGTTCTTCTCTGTGTTGGACTGAAGAAGCCACTGGCTGGCGATACGTTCCCAGTATAAAGATACCCAAAGACTGCACAAGTCTCATTTATGAACTTGCCAGCTTTCTAAAGCCACTTGATCTGTTTGTGGCTTAATAAAGCCCACAGTGTGGGCGAAACGTTGTCGGTAGAGGATGGCACTATACTGTATTTGTGTTTATTTTTCCACCCTGTCGGTATTTTATACTATTTATCGCTATCATGTCGAGTACTTCTGACTTGGTTTCTGATGTTTACTTGCCATCATGACTCTTATTTTCACCGTTTGGATGATCAAAGTCTTCATTATTTTCTCACGAAATCGTAATAACACTATTACAAACAAACCACGGAACAAGAACATGCGAGTTTCAGGACTTACTTGCCATGGGTTTAATTCCTACCCGTTCCATGGTTTCTTCATTATTTACTTTGAAAGTGACAGTTTTTTTTTCATTCCCGACTCCCGAGGATTACTTTCTACCTGTCAACACTGAACTACAGGTGTCACTTTTCTGAGGACGACTTTAACTTGTGACCAAATCATCATGAAGTTCGATGGTGTTATTCAAATTTATTGTTCATCCTATTTACTTATCGTCAGTGAATTTCCTCTCTTTTTATCTCCTCTCGAGAGAATTAATCTTGATTATAAACAACAAGGGACCCAAAATTGATCCTGCGGAATGTCATTACTGGTCGCCATTCTATTTTTACAGCATTTATGCAAACTCTCTGCTATCTATTAGCCAGTAATGGCTCGATCCTCGATAAAAAAAAGTTGCTCCAATACCATGTGCTGCCATTTTCTTTACCAGTCTTCTTTGATGGGTCTCAAAGCCTTAAGAACATAAGAACATAAGAACATAAGAACATAAGAACGAAGGAACACTGCAGAAGGCCTACTGGCCCATGCGAGGCAGGTCCAAGTCCCTACCGGCTTAAGCCAATGCACCCAACCTAGTCAGGTCAGGTCACATTGACTTAAGGGAGGAACACGGCAACCGACCTGTTAGCACAAGCTATCAGGTCCAACTCACACCCACCCACATCTACTCATGTATTTATCCAACCTATTTTTAAAGCTACACAACGTTCTGGCCTCTATAACGGTACTTGGGAGTTTGTTCCACTCATCCACAACTCTATTACCAAACCAGTACTTTCCTATATCCCTCCTGAATCTGAATTTTTCCAACTTAAAACCATTGCTGCGAGTCCTGTCTAGGCTAGATATTTTTCAGCACACTATTTACATCCCCTTTATTTATTCCTGTCTTCCACTTATAAACCTCAATCATATCCCCCCTAATTCTACGTCTTTCTAGAGAGTGCAGTTTCAGGGCCCTTAGTCTATCCTCATAGGGAAGGTTTCTGATACATGGGATCATCTTTGTCATCCTCCTTTGTACATTTTCCAGAGAATTTATATCCATTCTGTAATACGGTGACCAAAACTGTGCAGCATAATCTAAATGAGGCCTAACCAAGGATGTATAGAGTTGAAGAACAACCTGAGGACTCCTATTATTTATGCTTCTTAATATGAAGCCAAGGATTCTATTAGCTTTATTGCGAACACTTATGCACTGTTGTCTTGGTTTCAGATTACTGCTAACCAGAACTCCTAAATCTTTTTCGCAATCCGTAATATAAGATCTACATTATTTAGTTTATATGTGGCATGGTTATTGTCCTGTCCAACATTTAGAACTTGCATTTGTCTATATTAAACTGCATCTGCCACTTCTCCGACCACTGCATCAGTCTATTCAAATCTTCCTGGAGTGCTCGAATGTCCTCGTCAGAATGAATTCGACGGCCTATTTTGGTGTCATCGGCAAACTTGCCGATGTCGCTCTTTATGCCCTCATCTATGTCGTTTATGTAGATTGTGAACAGCAGGGGGCCCAACACTGACCCCTGTGGAACACCGCTCGTGACGCTTCCCCACTCTGATTTCTCCCCATTTATGCAAACTCTCTGCTGCCTATTTGTCAACCATGCCTCTATCCAGGAAAAAATTTCTCCTCCTATTCCATGTGCTTTAATTTTCCTCAATAGTCTCTGATGTGGGACCCTGTCAAAAGCCTTACTGAAGTCCATATACACAATATCATATTCATTACCATGATCTACCTCCTCAAATACCTTAGTGAAAAAAGTTAATAAATTCGTAAGGCAGGAACGCCCCTTTGTAAAACCATGCTGAGATTCGTTGATTAATTTATGCTTTTCAAGGTGGCTACGAACTGCCTCGGCAATTATTGATTCCATAAATTTTCCCACTATGGAGGTTAGGCTTATTGGTCTATAGTTCGAAGCTAAGGACCTGTCACCTGTTTTGAAAATAGGTATCACATTTGCCATTTTCCACTTATCTGGCACCATGCCAGTTTGTAGTGATATGTTGAAAAGATTAGCCAAAGGTGTGTTAAGCTCCTCTTTACATTCCTTTAGAACCCTTGCATACAGTTCATCAGGGCCTGGGGATTTGTTAGGTTTTAATTTATCTATTTGCCTAAGGACCATGTCACTTGTGACCCTAATAGTGCACAGTTTATTATCGTCCTGTTCTACATAATTTATCATTACTGGAATATCGCTGGTATCCTCCTGTGTAAAAACTGAGAGGAAG